CACACCTGCTACAGTTAGACAGATGTTCCAGTCTAACTCCACACCTGGTACTGTCCCTGCAGCCATGAGCAGAGATTGATGCCGCTCAGCGCTTGCTTCCCTGTCATGCCGAGTAAATGAAAAATTTATAAGTTACTTAGCTTTAATAACAAATCTGTGATTCTCTTGGAGGTTAGTGAACGTATTAGCACGTCACCACTTCTTTAATGGAGTCATGAACACACGGCCCACAGGTGGACTGAAGCACATGCTGCTTGCAGAGAAAGCACAACCTGTTTGTGTTTTTATACAGACATGTTTCTTATTTTTAAAGCTTTGTGCTCAATTTGAATAAAACTGCCTTTTCTAGTTTTAACTTTTTATTTTGAGACCCATGGTTATTCAGAAAACACCCGAGGCTGCAGCCTCAAATGAGCAGGTCTAAAAACTACTACGCCAAGAAGAAACACTGAGTGTGTATAATCTGATGCTGATGACCTATGACCTTGAAGTTCACCTCAAATTCCTCTGGAAGGTATTCAGAGCTCTTTAGTTGCCTTTCATATTATCCGTCTCTTCAATTTGTCATCAGTTGTCCTGTGGACCTTAAACCTCTGGCCAAACTGTGCAGCTGTGGTCAGAGAGCATCCAGCTGTTTGGACATGGTCTGAATATGCTGCTTAATAATTTTATTTCTAAGCTATAGAGACACGCTGTCTTCAGCTTCCTGTGCTCCATGTTCAGTGTGTTACACACCAGGATACTAAACAGCACAGTGACTACCTGTCACCCTGACTACACCAAGTTAACCATGACCCTGTGGTCAAATTAGTTTCAGTCTTATCTGAGGCGCCCTCTTTTTGTCAAGGTCAGTTCCTTTTCATCCATCCATCCATCCATCCATCCATCCATCCATCCATCCATCATGCATCCATCCATCATCTTGGGTTCTGATGTGGCGACCCAGTTTCCAAAGGAACTTTCCACTAAAATGGAAGTCAGTACCTCACTTAATTTTCAAGTCATGGTGCTCACAACACGCACAGGTGGATGAACGGAGGATAGTTCCCCTCTTGTCTGCGACGAGGGGCAAGAATAAAGAGTTAGAGAGCCTCTGTCCCTCTCTCCTCCTCACAGACTGTCAGCTCGTACCTCGTGGAAGGTCCTTGGAGAATGCTTTGGCGTAGTAGACCGTCTGCTCCCGAGACGTGTAGGCGTTAAGATGAGCGCCCAAGTTTTCAATCTCTAGCTCCAGGTCCAGCTGAGAACGTTTCCTGGTTCCCTGTGGCACAGATCCACACAACAAACAACCTTGATGCTCTTTGTACTCGTCAAAGAAGCTCGATTGCCATTTTTTAAATAAATCCATGAAACGAGGACTCAAACACTGCAGCTTCTGACCTTAAAGGCCATGTGCTCCAGAAAGTGTGCCGTGCCGTTGTTTCTCTCGTTCTCATAGCGACTGCCGGCATCGATCCACAGACCCACCTGCACAAAAACAAACAAAACAAAAACTTTTCTCGCTGTTCTCATCAAGCTGCTCCAAGCAGGTCTGAGCAGACGTTTAGGGTTGCTGCTGCGAGCCAACACGAAACAGCATTTTAAAACACCGCTCGAATTACCAGACTTCTCAGTCGATCTTTGACCCGTTTTCACATTTTAAAAACTTTATCCATAAAATGATTTTTTTCTGTAGCGGCCTTAATTAGATGTGTAAACTGCAAATGTAACAATATACCTCAACCAAAAAGACATAAAAAATATTCTCAGTTCTTTAAATGCCCACCGCCACGCAAGTGATCATATGTGTGTCCAATTGTCTGTCCGTTAGCAAAATATCTCATTAACCACAGGACAGAAGTTGAAACTCTCAGAAAGTAATCAATGGGTGTACATCTACACCTGATTAACTTTTAGCTTCCACCCAGTGGAACCCTGAACTTAATACAATCCATTTGTGCAGCTCACACTGCAGGATAAATTTCCTGCTGCAGCTGATCAGCTGTTCTCCGTGCAGCGCTGAGAAGTGGGCGTGGCTAAGAGCGCTTGCAGGTGGCAAAAAGCAGAGGAGGCAGGGAGCTGAAATCATGACATTCTGTGTCTTAGAGCGTTTAAAAACATTGTTTAGAATATTGCAAGAGTGTGGGAAGGATTTAAAACACTTTCATTTATACTAAAATAAATTACTTACTACTTGTACTACTATTCCTACTTTGCGGTTTATCAAAAAGGACAGTCTTAAAACTGGACAATGTGTCAGTCTCACAGACAGAAACTGGAAGTTGGTTCCACAAGAGAGGAGCCTGAGAAATGAAAGATCTTCCTCCCATTTTTCTTTTGGAAACTCTAGGGACCGCGAGTAAACCTGCAGTCTGCGAGTGAAGTGCTCTGTTAGGAAAATAAGTATCAATAAAATCTGTAATATAAGATGGAGCTAGGTTGTTGAGAACTGCAAGCTTCTTGTAACAGACACATTTTAACACATGGACAAAAACATTATCTTTACTTTTACTGAGAACATGCAAAATTCACAGAAAGGCTCCTGCCGGGATTCAAACCCAGGACCTTTATGCTGCAGGGAAAAAGCCCAGAACTGTTAAAATTATTTTTAATCAATATCATCACGAGATGTTTGGTGCTCAACTTGAATAATGAGTTTAATTTCTTTTTTTATACAAATCCTGCCTGTTGAGGCTGGTTTAATAATTTAACTTACTGTGCAGGTTGTGAGGCCGGAGTCCTCTGAGGCCACTCGGAGTCCGTTTTCTAACCAGGTCACTTTGGTTTCGGGGACATTTAGCGCCACCTGCTGGGCAGCCTGGGCGGACAACAGTCGCCGCGGGCCCGCAGAGAACTGCAACCAAGAGCAGGCGGTCATCATGGCGCCTCATTTACTCCACTCGCGTCAACCGCACTCACTTAGCGGGAATTCATTTAGCTTCGTTTTCAACAGTCTTAAAGTATTACTCAGACTAAACTTGAGACTTTACGGCAGGACACTGGAGCAGATCCTGACTTTAACAGAACAACCTGAAACGGAACCGCATCTCCGTTCTCCTCCCCGTTTCTGTCACTCAGAACAACAATGAACGATGAGTTACGTTAGAAAAACAACTTTAAACAAATTATTCTTACCCCGCTGAGATAACTAGTCTTCAACAAATGATTATGTAAGAGATTTCTACCAGCAAGTGAGATGCGCTGTAAGAACGCCGCCATATTGTTTATAAGTAACTAACTGCGCAGTTGCGCCGGATACGCAACTTCCGCCGGTGATGACGTCTGTTCCTTTTTTAAACTTGGAAAATAAAAGTCTTGGGATTTGGAATCGCAAAATTATGTTTATCATTCAGCTACAAGTTATCTTGTCAACAGAAAAAAAGTTGTGATTTTTTAAATTTATTTAATTGTTCAAGCAATTTAATATGTAATCTAAATGTAAAGTTTAAAAACATTTATTTTATTTAAAGCGTGTTGGCAGTTCTTTTCTTAGGCTTTACTAAAGTATGTTGCACATATTTACATATTTGCTCAAGTTTAGTTAATACACTGTAGAAATATTTAAATAACTGGAAATAAGCAGCATTGTTTCATTATAATTGATTATATACAATTACATTATTCACAATGTTAGAAAAAGTGATTAGTTTACCTAGATCACCTTATAATTAAACATGGAAATGTGATGGACAGGTGTGTTCAAGGTACACACTACTTCTTGCTAAATAATAGCTAGATTTGGAAAAAGAGGTTTATTAAGAATAAATTAATTAAATCTTGGATATTATCCTTAAATTTATTGTAACATGGTATCATTCACGAATAACAAATTAATCTCTTTTTTTTGTGAATCAAATAATTTATTTTAGAGAATACACATTTAAATTTGGCCATGTTATTTTTGCATTTGCCTTTTGTCAACCAGGACTTTTAGTATTGATGCAAAAGGATACTTCAAAAATTTCTCAGTATAAAACAACAGTTACTCGTTAAAAGAATATATTTAAAATGTTGTTCAACATTTATCTTATTTTATTTTGTGTGATGTTATGCAACGCGGGCAGCACGGTGGCGTAGAGCTGGTGCATCTCAGTGCGCGGGTCCCTGGTTCAAATCCCGGTCCGGGGGCCTTTCTGGGTGGAGTTTGCATGTTCTCTCCGTGCATGGGTTTTCTCGGGTGCTCCGGTTTCCTCCCACAGCCCAAAAACATGCATGTTAGACTGATTGGTAACTCTAAATTGTCCCTAGGTGTGAGTGAGAGCGTGAATGGTTGTTTGTCTCGTTTGTCTCTATGTGGCCCTGTGATGGACTTGCAACCTGTCCAGGGTGTACCCCGCCCCTCGCACAATGATTGCCAAGCATAGGCACCGGTGACCCCCGTGACCCAAAATGGAAGAAGCGGGTAAAAGATAATGGATGGATGGATATGCAACACTTTGACATTTGCCAAGATCCCCATTATTGTTAAATCTGCTTAATAATGCAGGGAACAAACGTTTTTTTTTTTTTTTCATTCACCCTTTTTTATCCAGGTAGTCTCATTGAGCCACAAGAACTCATTTTCAAGAGAGACCTGTTTAGGGAGCTGGTGGGGGTTAAGGGCCTTGCTCAGGGACCCAGAGTGGGGCGAGTGAGGGTGGTGGCAGGTGTGTGTTTCACCTTTTCTACCCACATTTTGATGTTGACGGTACCGGGAGTTGAACCTGCAGCTTCCCGATCACAGGCCCATCTTCTCTAGCCTCTGCGCCACCACTCCCCCCATGAAACATGTAAACATGAAAAAATAAAAAAGATATACTTGAAAAATGTACTGATTTGTTTAGTTCACTGAGGCTGATGGAGGGAAAACGACAACCAAAACAATATCCAAAAATTGTAATTTTAGACCGTAAACTTTGTACAAAATATGCCAGATTCAAATTTATTCAGATCCTATGACATATAACACAGAAAACGCCTCATTATACCCCGACAAAATTTAAACATCTTATGTATCATTTTTAAATTAGTGAAAAATTAATCACTCTCCAACTTTAAAATAAACCATATGCTTGAATCCTAAGACAATATAATATATATGATAAAATTATATTTTTAATTTTTTTATATAATTATATTGTCTTAGTAGCATGTATTTGTTACATAATGAATTGTCATATTTATTTCAAACTTCAAGTACGGTTTGTGACTTTGAATATATTATATTTATGAGGAAAAAGGAGCAGAAATGTTATTTTATGGTAAAAAGTTGGAGAATGCTCGTGACGACAGATAAAACCCTTTTATTTTGAAAGAATCCAAGAGTCCGCAGGCGGAAGTGGCAGAAGCAACCGGAAGTAACATTAGCCAGCGCGAATTTGTCGTCCCTCGAAGTTGTTGCACCTCAACCTCTAATGAAGGTTCATTGAAAGAAAAAAAAAAAAGCTTAAACGACACTTGCATGCAAAGCAATCAGCGTCTGTCCGACATTTAAAGGTATATTTTCATCAAAGTTTGCTTTCTCGCCATGTTTGCTAAGTTGAGCGGTTTTGTCAGATGCTAACAGATGTAGCTAAGTGAGCTGAACTTTAGATGCTGCTTCTGTCTTTGCTGTAACTTACAGACTAAAATAAAAAAAAAAATGGCTGAACTAATGGACGGAGACCTGGAAGATGGGGAACTCTCCGGGTCCAGCTCGGACAATGAGATGGGAACCCGCGGAGCGGCGCAAGCCCCAGCTGCTGCCCGAGACTCGAGCGCTATCAGCGGGCCGCGTCCCGCCACCCAGCCGCCCCCCGCGGCGTACCGGAGCTCGGCTAAAGCGGTGCAGTCCAGCGGGAGTGACTCGGACTCTTCAGACGAGGAGGCGTCCGTGTGGCGCCGGAAGCGCCAGAAAGTCTCAAACGCTCCTTTGCCGCCTGCGCGCCCCGCCCGGCTGGTGGCTCCGCCTGTGCCCGCCCCCGCCGGCGCACCTGGGAGCCGCAAGGTGAACAACATCTGGGGCTCCGTGGTCCAGGAGCAGTGCCAGGATGCAGTAACCGCAGAGCTGGGCATATTTGGCATGGAGGGTGTGGACATGTCCAGCAGGAGCGTGGAGACGTATAACTTCGTCCTGGCCCGGAAGATCATGGAGAAAGAGAGGGAGTTGGAGCAGCTGTCCAAGCATGATGAGGAAGTGAGCATGCTGGACGCTGAGCTGGAGGACTACATGAAGGGTGAGGAGAGGGCTGGGGGGGACGCCAAGAGAAAAAGGCCAGCCAAAGAGAGACTGGGCTCCCGAGCTGAGATGGACACCAAGGGCCGATACGAGATCACAGAGGATGACCCCGACGAGAAGGTGATCGATGAGATTGCCTACAGACTACAGGAGCCTAAAAAAGAGCTGATGGAGCGCGTCGTCAAAGTCATCGGCAAGCAAAAAGCCATCGAGCTGCTGGGAGAGACCGCCTCGCTCGAGGAGAGCGGCGGCGTGTACACCATGGACGGCAGCAGGCGGCGGACGCCGGGCGGAGTCTTCCTCAACCTGCTGAAGAACACCCCCAGTGTTTCCAAGTCTCAGATGAGGAAGATCTTCTTCGAGGAGCAGCAGAAAGACAACAAAAGCAAGAAGGCGGCGCAGAAGAGGAGGAGACACGTGCTGGCGAAGAAGATGAAGCAGGCCATCGGCACACTGAACCTGCAGGAGCACGATGACGTCTCCAGGGAGACGTTCGCTAGTGACACCAACGAGGCCTTGGAGTCGCTGGAAGAGCCTGCAGAGGAGGAGGAGGCGGAGGGGAAGGAGGAAGCTGCTGTGGGCACCGAGGAGACCGCAGTGATCTACAACTCTGCCGACCTGGAGGTGTTCTGAAAGTGGCCTGACAATCAAAACAGCTGGAACTGAGCTGGCACCGTAATGTTTATCATTTGAGTCACGCTGCGTCCTTTGTTGCTCGTTTTCTTTTCTTTTTTACCTTAGAATAAAAACAAAAAAAAAAATCAATGCTAAAAATTTCAATGTGTGTTTGTGTTCTGCATGGATTCTGGTGTTTATCTTCAAAAATCAAATTCTTCACCACCTTTTGTTGTAACGTTCAGATTGTTTTATTCAGCTCCTTATTTAATAAACTCGTTGAGATTGGGTCTTATAATTACACAAAAAGCAACTGGACTGTTTTATTCAGATGCTTCTCTTCCTGTCGGGAGAACTTCTACATTCACTGCTGGTTTTACCCTCGTTCAGGTTAAAAGACTGAAACTCCAGTTTGGAATAGAATAAGATCCTTAGACGGGAGTAAAACGTCTTCAGAAATAAAAGTCCAGTTGCTTTGATTTTAAATCTAGATTTTTCATGTCCTGCCTGACTGGCAACCATCAGCATTAACAGATGTTCAGCCTCCCAAGTGTTGGCTCTAAGACAGTTTCTCACAGATGAACACTGGCTCAGTCCTAGGATGGCAACATGGCTGGATGTGAGAAGAAATATATGTTTGGTGACAACAGTCCAAAATAAAATAAACATTTCTGGTCAGTTGTATCAATATTTGTCCACTAGATGGCAGACATGCTGTTTCCCTTTAGTGAGTCGATACAAAATAGTCCACGCTCAATAATCCAGGTATACAATCCAACAATTCTCAGTCAGGTCATCTGGACTGTTTGTTTTCAACCAGTTTGACATGACTGTCGATGAGGAAGAGGGCCGGCACTGGAGGAGGGGGCGTGCCAAAGACACCATCTTAGCACCAGCATAACTGGTTTGTTCCACTTTGGAGTAAGCTGTTGGTGGAAGAATCAGTTTTGTTGTGCGTTTCCTTGACTGATGAAGCCTTCTGGATGGAAGGTGAAACGTTTCGGCACAAAAAAAGAAGCAGTCCAGATGACCTGACTGAATAATTGTTGGAGTGTCGTTACGTTTAGTCGTTTAAAAAGTCACATTAAAGGAATGCACATCACCCGCCTCAGACCATCTGATGAGCAGTGAGGGAGTTCTAGGTTGAAAATAAACAGATCTCATGATTACATGTTCAGTTTGTGTTGTGACTCAGATTATACCGTCACAAGTTTTAACTCAATAAATAATTAAGGTAATTACCATTTTTATGTTGTTAATGTCAAGTGAAGTTTCACTGACTCCAGTAAATGTAGGCGTACATCCACTGATGACACGTTCCATTCAAATGTTGCACGTGCTTTATGAGACATTTTGATAATGACCAAAACATTAACACTCGTATTTTTGTAGCAGGCAGCGACGACGTCCATTATCTAAAGTTTGAATAACTCTAAATTGTCCCTAGGTGTGAGTGAGAGAGTGAATGTTTGTTTGTCTCGTTTGTCTCCATGTGTCTCTGTGATGGACTTGCGACCCGTCCAGGATGTACCCCGCCCCTCGCACAGTGATTGCTGGACATGGGCACCGGCGACCCCCATGACCCAAAATGGAACAAGCGGGCAAAGAAAATGGATGGATGGACATCACGAGGCCATGCTTGTGTGTGTGACGTGCACGTTCCTGAGAGGCCACAGACAGAGCAGCTTCAGCTTTTGTTGAGTCCCTGTAGTCCTGCAGTTTTCTAGCTGAAATGAAAAAACATAATAGAATAGAAGAGAAGAGAATAGAATAGAAGCAGCCTTTATTGTCCCACGGATGGGAAATTTAAGTGTAACAGCAGCAACAGATAAAAATATTTCATACAAAAGTTCCTAAATGTTAAAAACAATATATAAAGAAATAATATAAACAATATCAATAATAATGTTCAATATGTGTTGGAACATTGATGAGGACAGACTATTTACAGTACAGTATTACAGGCAGAGTGTGTGTTTTAGCAGAGGTCAGCATGTATTTAATCCTTATGGAGTCTGTTGGGAGCAGTGATGGTTGCAGAGTCCAACAGCTGCTGGGAGGAAGGACCTGTGGTAACGCTCCTTTGTGCATTTAGGAGCAGGAATCTGTCACTGAACGAGCTCTCCAGTTCAGCAACAGCTTCATGCATGGGGTGGGAGACGTTGTCCAGCAATGATGTTATTTTAGCCAGAGTCCTTCTGTCTCCCACCACCTGCACTGGGTCGAGGGGGCGTCCAAGCACCGAGCTGGCCTTCTTGATGATCTTATCTAGCTGCTGCTTCTCAGCAGATGATGAGCTGCTGCTCCAACACACAACACCATAGAAGATGGCTGATGCCACTACCGAGTCAAAGAAGGTCTTTTGTTCAAGTCATTTTTCTGAAGTTCAAAATGAGGGAATAGACTGAAGAACATTGACAGGTATGGGGGTAAAAGTGAAACAGCTGACTGTCTTGTAATCTTGTACAAGTTTAAACAAACTGGTGAGACTTTTTGCTCTTTGTTTCTGTTCGTATCATCGGTTACAGTGTTGGTTATCGAGTAAAAAAATGCTGAAGCAGTCAGAGTTCCTTCCTTTCACAGGAATTAAGGGGATGAGCCCAGCTCCTGAAAAACAACCCCACACCTTAATCCCCCCTCCACCAAACTTTACGCTTGGCACAAGGCAGTCAGACAAGTACCGTTCTCCTGGCAACCACCAAACCCAGACTCATCCATCAGATTGTTTGATGGAGAAGAGTGATTCGTCTCTCCAGAGAATGTGCCTCCACTGCTCTAGAGTCCAGTGGCGGCGTGCTTTACACCACTGCATCCGACGCTTTGCATTGCACTTGTATGTATGTATGGCTTGGATGCAGCTACTCGACCATGGAAACCCATTTCATGAAGCTCTCTGCTCACTGTTCCTGAGCTAATCTGAAGGCCACATGCAGTTTGGAGGTCTGTAGTGATTGACTCTGCAGAAAGTTAGCGACCTCTTCGTACTATGCGCTTCAGCATCTGCTGACCCTACTCCGTCAGTTTACGTGTCCTACCACTTTGTGACTGAGTTGCTGTCGTTCCCAAACACTTCCATTTTCTTATAACACAGTTGACTGTGGATTATTTAGGAGCGAGGAAATTTCATGACTGGATTTGTTGCATAGGTGGCATCCTATCAGTTCCACGCTGGATTTCACTGAGCTCCCAAGAGCGACTCATTCTTTCACAAATGTTTGTAAAAAGTCTGCATGCCTAGGAGCTTCATTTTATATACCTGTGGCCATGGAAGAGTTTGGAACACCTGATTCTGATCATTTGG